ATGGGATAACTGCTGAGCTGATTGACATGAGCGAACTATTTTCAGTAAATGGGTCGTGACACTGGAACCATTTGATGAATTTCTTTTTGATCCCACCGTGTATCCGTGGAGTTTATATTGTCAACTTGCTGATAATATGTTGAAGAGGTGATCCCACAATATCCCTTAATTTGATGGGTAGCATTCACTGCGATGGGCCTGCCAGCGAACCATCGGGCTAGATCCCCATCATTGATTCCCCCCTATCTCTGAAAAGCGCTCTCCACAGTAAGATGTTGCTCTCATGAGCACTTACTTGTTCATAGGCCATGCTGCAGGATCCATGACGTCACACTAGTGGATAGATTCACTGACATATCCCCTATTTTTTTGGTAATTAGGCTGGTTGTTTGCCAGATTTCAATGGTAAGATTTTAAACTTCGGAAACTTGACAAGCATCTGATCTAGTGTTAACAATCAATAGCGGTTAAATGGTGAAGCCGATCTTAATGAATTGGGAAACATTTTACCCAGACGTTTATGCCCTTCAAACTAACTACAGGAACATTTTTTCTATAGCATGCGTTAGAAGATGTAAGCCAAAAACTGAAAGATGAATACAGGGATAGGTCGAATATAATGGGTGGTTGGGATGAATCCTAGAATTTTCGGAACCTCAGACAACAATATTAAACATAAAATTACATAGGGGGTCTTACTCTCATCACACCTTATCATATAAACCTCTGGATGACCATCATGGAATAAACCACTATTTAATAATTCATAATCCATTTAAGGACAGGATCTATGTTGTTACCAATTTTAGTAAAATTTCCCATCTTTAACTTTAATACTTTTTTCAATGAAATGGCGACTATACAAAGTAGGTAACAATCAATTGCCGTTATTGATTAATAAAAAAAAACATTATTCGCAGAATTTTGTGTTTTCCAAACTAACTACAGGTGCATTTTTGTATAGCATGCGTCGTTTAGGAGTTGTAAGCCGAAAACTGGTCAAATAATCAACATTTTGGCTATGTTGATGAAAATATTCCAACTTTGAAAAGCTACAGCGGCTAAACAGCTCAGCCGATTTTGACGTATTTAACATCAATCGACGCGGAATTTAATGCACTAAAAGACACCTTCGGACAACATTGTCCTTAGGATTCGTTATTTAGGAGTTATAAGTGAAAAACTGAAAAAAGTTCAAAATTTTCATAGTTTTTCGACTCCCAAAACTTAAGCAGACGTCAGAATCCATCGCAAACTCACAGGAGTCTTATTTGGGACCCCCAAAAGGTATTAAAACACTTTCCAGCTTTAGACGATTTTTTGGGGAGCACACCCTATATTTGATCTAATTTGCCTGGACTAGTTTACGTGTCATCCTAACCTAACCTATCCTAACGTAACTAAACTAACCTACTCAATCATACAGTCATTTTGAGCAGTTATAAAACGTATCGGGTGGCTCCCTGGAATAATTAGCGCAATTCAGCAATACCCGACTTAGGTGAATTGGCGCAATTAATGCCCACCCGGTGCAATTTATTGTGAGAGTAATTTTAAAAAAATCTTGTGAATGTAGAGCAGAATTTCAAAATAAGGAACATTTGGTCTAGCCTACAGGTTTTCCAGCGTCGTATTCGATGTGTTGAAGATTTGTTTGTCATAAAATGGCTATCACTGCACCAAGTGGTATTAGGTCACTTAGCAATATGCTCTACTACCCGATGCAATAGATTGTGTAATGGCCAAATGACACCACATACAGTGCGATGCTCTACTGAAGGTGTATAACTCAGCATATTAAGCAACCTATTAGTCAGGAGATTGACTCATACACAAGTCGTAGTAATTAAATGTTTGTTGCTACTTAGTCACCGGGCGATTGGTAAAATAGAAACTGTTTGAATCCTTCAAAGTTTTTCTTCAATAATCGTTCAGAAACTTTGCCGTGTTGCAGTAAATGCTAATTTGAGATAGATATGTATACATTTTTTCGATCTGTAGTGTCTGTACATTTTGTGTCCAATCTGATATTTTTGTTTGGTCTGTGACCATATGTATCTGATATGTATGCATTTTTGGGAAGAAGTAGACCTTCATGCAACAATATTAAACCTACATGAATTTTATTTTATTAAATTTGTCTGCATAAGAATTTCTATTTGATGGCAATAAATGACGTAGATATCGGACGGCCAGACGTCTCGCCCACACTTAGCATGTAGGAGACTGAGGAAGGACTTCAAGCCGCCTTTCTGATCTTTATAGCATTTCAGGATCAACTCAACCGAGAAATCCGAGTGTAAAAGTGATTTTAAACATTTAAACATTAAACATGAGTTGCCAACTTTGAATATCATCATCAAAAGTATAAATTCGCTCAGTATGCTTAACCCTTAGACAACGCTTGGATTTGTAAAACTGTATTTCTATTGTGTATATATATTTTTTTAAATAAATTCTAATAAGGGAGATGTAGATTCTAAAAGTCTGCAATTCTGTGTTTGTGTATTTTTGCGTCGTGATGAAAAGTATCGTTCATAACTCGTACCGAAAGTTATTATCCGGCACTTGCTCCATTATTCCCGTCCTCGGCATCGCCTCGTACGTGAAAATACCTCTCACATACTCGGCTTCGCCTCGCACGGGAAATTGGGGTTCCCTGTGATCGGCTTCGCCTCACACAACAACTTGAGCACGCGCCGGAAAATGCCACTTTCGGTCCTAGTAATGAAATATACTATTTCATCAAACAAGTCATTAAATAAATGTACATTGTGCCGTATTTAATAAAAAAAATAAAAAATAAGAAGTTACGACAAAAAAATTAAACAAGACGAAATTTTGTCAAATATGTGGAAGGACATTTAATTTTTTTCGACTTTTAGTGACCTGTTATTTAATCACAGAGTAAAGGAAACACTTCAGCATGTTGCCCTCTGTTGTATATTTAACTAGATTAGGATTACTATCGTTCAATTTGAAAATGTGCTTAAAGTACTTAGTTTATAGACCTTAAATTAAAAAAAATAAACAATTTTACACCGTTGTAGGCCTATTAATCCATTGTTCAAAAAATATTTAAAATTTAATTTAAACAAATAAGAAAAAAATGTATAGACTGCATTTCTATCGTCTTGTGTGTCAAAGAGGATTTAAATTCCTAATCCATTAGTCTGTATCAGTGACACTAAGCACAGCCACCTCTAATACAAGACCTGTATTGAAGGTGGCTGTGCACTAAGTCTATAAAATCTATACTCGAATTGTATATATCTTGCATATCATACACTTATAATAGGATTAATAAGAAACACTAATAACCGATTTGTTTAAGTAAAATAGTTAAAAAGAACACGTTTTAAAGGGAATGGTAGGCCTAAACAAAAATCATCTACAGGAAACTATTATTTGATTTTTAAGACTTTTTGGAATAGTTTTATAAGCGTCTAGTACCAGTTCAGGGCCAATTGGCCGACTACAACACAGTCATTCAATCATTTGTGGCCTTGGTTTGAGTTGTGACTGACGAATTTCGGCAAACTTGACCTGGCGGGGTCATCTGTGATAGTGTTAGTTATCAACCTATAAAATTGATTCATTGATTTATTATCTTTATCATGTCCAAAACGCTGAAGGTTCACCCTAGAAACTCTTAAGTGTGACGTTTATTTACAAGTTTTTCCTAGAACCATTTTTAAGTGTTATTAATTCATGTTAATGACTTGTGTACAATATTTTACAATATTGCGAGATGAACACGATAAGAAAACCTCAATGGAATCTCAAAATGACGTTTTTATTAAAACATTAAAAATGGGATGATGTTATTCAAGTCTAGGGGATGGATCTGTATAACCTAGCTTATGTTATGACATTAAATACCAAATAAGGAAATTTTTAGGTGGAATTCCAAATTTTTAGTGTAAAATTTGAACTCTACAAGGAGTCGATATCCTCTACACCACCCTACAACGAAACACCTCAAGTGTTTTAAATTCAAGAATTCCACTCGCGCTCAATTAGCCCAAATTAATTTGTAAACCGGATTAAAGCGAGGTAACTGAACGTTGTTTATATTGAATTTAAAATTTAAATCCCGTAATTATCCGCGCTGCGGGTGGAGAATTGGAGGGAACTATTTGTGGAGCATTAATCATCGGTCCGGTTCTACACGCGGCGGAGAAAGTGCCGCTGAATTAAACGAGCTATTAAACTATTTTTCGTAATCTAGTTATAATTAAAAACAAGTTGAACGGCCTTGGAGTGGACTAGAGGGAGTGGGGAGTGGTGAGTGGTGATGGTGAGTGGGGGGCGGTCTGAGTGGTAATTGCTTGGTAACTGGTATTAATCGGAGGATAATACTGGGTATTAGGTATTAGATTGGAAGGGAGAAATGGCTATCAATCTATGCTCTATGGTGTACAGTTAGAACTATACTTTAACTAGTGAATTGTGCGCTACAATTTTCCTTCTATTTGTGCATTTATACGGTGTCTTTATATTCTGATTGTGCATTTATTATTAAGTATGGTACAGTAATATCGAAAGTATGGATGGATAGAGCTCAAATCCCGGAATGGTCTAATTTCTTTCCCTTTCGTGAACATTCCGGCACTTCTTGCGATTTATGGTGTTTTATTTTATTTATGCAGTTACTTTGATCAAGTAATTTCGTTTACGCTACATTATACTTTGTACATACATTATTCGAGTATTGTCATAAATTTCCCCACAGTAGTATAGGAAAAACTCAATATAAAAAAACCTGTTTGCATCAAAAGTGCAACTAACTGTTAACAGAATCAAGTTAACGCCAAATTATTGCCTACACTACATACTGAAAGATTGTTTCCTTCCTCTAGGGTATGTTTAATCAATATTTACAGATTGCTAAATAAATTACATCAACGCCGGACGGTTAGGTGCAATTTGACAAAATGTTTGATAATCTAAAAGAAGATCATAAATGATAATCATGGTCATAAATGATGATCACTAACCTGTTTAAGATCCAGAGTGACGGTGACCCACTCGAACTCCGCCCCGGTGGCGAGGGAGGGACTCTGCCACCAGGTGTCGGAGGCGCCGTCCACGATGTGCCTGGGGGGATGGCGCTTGCTGGGGTCGGGACTGCGGGAGTCGCATACGCCACAGCCGCTGCCGCCCCTCAGGCTCCGGCGACAGTAGACCTCCGGGCCACGCTCGCCGCACGTCGCGTTGGCGGTCACCTCCGCCCGCGCCGCGACGTTGGACACCCCAGGGTACAGCGTGCGGGAGTCGCCCGTCAACTTGTCTGAAACACGAGGTGACAAGGTGAGGAAATGAAAACAAACATGGATGGGTGGAATCAATAAACCAACATATCATAACTTCACTTTCCCCACAGCCCTAGCGCATGAACCATCGGCAATACACCAACTGCTACCGGGTTTATGTGCTGATCGTTTCGCTCGATCTTCGATAGCTGCTGTTAAGCCAAAAAGAAAACGTTAACTCTGCTGGAAAGCTTACACACCACCCACCGGCTTTTGAGTGAACTATATCGTAAAACTTTCTAGTCTTCATGATCCCGGAGGAATTGAAATGGTATGTCGTACTTGCCGACAAGTACGTCACTCGCTAGCTATATGTATCATAGCAGCATTGGTTATTTATCTACTCAAAGATAAAAACACTCAATGGAAGTACAGTAGTTGCGAACTCGCCCCCCAAGCCTCTTACTTTTACTACAGCCTTAGCCCATTTACTATTGAGTTGAGAGTACTGAGTAAAGTAATAACCGATACAATTGGGAACCAAGTGAGCCACATGCCACATTTAGGTACATCTTGCTAATACTCACCTGTCATAATCCAACTGTAAGGTTATTGTCGTATACTTTCTTTAATATGATGCTTAATTAAAATCCCAAAATTGCAAGTTTCTTGCAATATTTTAATTTCTACTATGTCGTCGATATAATATCTCTTGAGCATTTCCCCTCACTTCGAGTAAAAAGTGTTATTAATAATTTCTTTATTTTTTTCATACTGTACGTGTACTTTACTGTCGAAAATTCCCTATAAGTACTTTCCAAAGGTTTTCCACACACATTTGTACCAGAACGTCTTAACGTCTAGAAGCACGCAGAACGTTCTGGAGCACTGAACATTCCTCGCTGCAGAGATTAGCATGCGCTGTAGCGCTGCAACGGTGTAACGGTAACTCTAGAGATAACAGTTCACCCCGAGCTATAACTCGGCATGACCCGTGCCTAGTTACGTCATCAGCCACCTGTGCTTCATTACGTCACAGACACTCCACTGTTTACGATCGGCTCCGACATCTGTCAGTTACGAGTCTTTAAGAGTATTTGTCGAGAGGTTGTAAAGTGACCAAGCCACTGCGAGATTGGTCGTGTCACTTGCGCAAGCAAACAACGATTTGTTCGAACGGACAGCTATTTGATACAATGATGTAGCGTTTCGGTGGTGAGTTTCCATTCAACACAACCTTTCTACAAAAATCCCCACAGATACTAAACTTAAAGTAACTTTTAGATCGTTTCCGTGTAATCGAACTTATTTATGTTTCGAGTGATTTGTAGATTATTTTCATGTTATTCCTCTACCGTTGATATAATACTTTATACACTCCATCGTTGCCACATGCAGACTCCAGATGGGTTTTAAGTGGCAGACCAAATACACACATTTAAAAATCTTACCAATCAAATTGGAGCGTTTGTATGCAGACTTAATAGGTTTGAGGAAACATTTTGGAAGACCATATTAAACTATAAAATACCAAGAAACGTTCTACCCTGGTGCATAAGTAATGTTTATAGCAATAAGACCCATAGATTAAATATCAAAGTCATTAATGTAACTAAGAATAGTTTTCCATTTTCGTCCAGATGCAACAAGATGGAATAAATAAGTCCATTCCAGCAGGCTTTCAAGAGATTCAAACTCCGAACCCTGAACACATTCTGGACTGAAAATAACACAGGAGCCTCAATCTTTAGATCTCACGGAAAGACGGCAGGCTCGTAAAAAGACCAAATTATTGCGAAATGAAGACAGCTGCAGGTATATTATTCTTTGGTGGTTTCGAGAAAAGAGCTAAAAGGCATGATGTTCTAATTACGAGTTGAACACAAAGAATACAATGGAGCAGGCGCGAGGAGAGGCCCCCTGGGGGCTCCACGGGGGGCTTTTGGCAGGAAGTTTATGGATGTAAGGGCTTTGAGAGTATCTACCGCCATTAAACAAACAATAGTGGACCGAAGAGAGATCCTTGAGGGACCCCGTGCACTAGTCAGGGAAACGGACAGAGGAGCGCAAGTCGTAAAACTGTCAACCCCTCGGCCGAAGAATTCGTCGGGGGTAGGACCAAGGAGCGCAGATGTGCTTGCGCTCCTCGGTCCGACCCGGGCAAGAAACTAATCCCCTACTTACGAGGGTTGAACAAGACAATGCTTGCGAGTAAATCCCATTAGTCCCGCCTCACTGACTACACCATTGATTTGGGCGTACTTTTCTAGAGCAACTTATTACCAAACTAATGTGGTATCAACAAATTACCAAGCCGTACACTTTCACTTTCAAATTTAAATTGCAATATAAAAGCTGATCCTTCAGCTGAATGTTGAACCACATTTAGATTTTATTTATAAAACTGTTAATAAAAATGTATGTAAAATAGGCTACGTTTTGACAATTGCGATTTAGATAAGGTAGGCGACTTGTGTCTTCATGGTGTGGATCTAAAATCTGTATATTAGTAAGTTTATTCACTTTTAATAGCTGCTTTAAACAACCGTAATCTTTGAAAAGAAAAGGGTATTGTATCGTTAGTTTTACCTTAAAAAATGTGTTGAACCCTATTAAAATTAGCAAATTTGCAATGGGTCCCCTCGTTATTAAATACTAGCAGAACACCCGTCCTTCGTATGGGATTGGCATATATGTATAAAATGCTTATTGCAGTTATACTCAAGCTTTGCGTTTGCAATGGGGGGAGGACACAGTTTGATAAAATTTGGTTCATCAATTTACGGTAAGATATAATATAACACATCTACCATTGCCATAATGTTCTACCACTGCACCTAAACAATAGAAAAAAATATTATCAAACATTCGCACAATATCACAAATTATTCATTAAATTAAAAACTCAAACCTAACTGTAAACAATCCTACTTTGACAATTCTCATTGTGTATCACAGCTTTTTGTAGCTGCTTAGTTCAAATTAGCTGTTGTCATATATGCAAAAACAAAACAATAATAGTGCTGCACCCTGTTGGGAAACCCTATAATTTTTTAATGCTATCTATATCTATAAAAGAGGAACTATGTATGTGTGTGTGTATGTATATACGTTATGGACTCCGAAACCGCTCGACAGATTGTAATGAAACTTTCAGGCATTATTAAGCATCTTTCAAGGATGGTTCGAGTGAAGTTTGGTGTAGATCTATCAAAAGGGCTCTGCCCCAGAGGGTTTTAAGTGGGCCAATGTCAGACTTTTTGATCTACAATGTTTACAAATAAATATAATTTAAAAGCAGATGTTTACTTTTACCAACTGTTTTGTAGGTTTGAATAATTACAACATTCTGTATTAGCATTAGTCATGATTTGAAATAGTGCCACAGTGTTTCATCAATTTACGGTAAGATATAATATAACACATCTACCATTGCCATAATGTTCTACCACTGCACCTAAACAATAGAAAAAAATATTATCAAACATTCGCACAATATCACAAATTATTCATTAAATTAAAAATTTAAACCTAACTGTAAACAATCCTACTTTGACAATTCTCATTGTGTATCACAGCTTTTTGTAGCTGCTTAGTTCAAATTAGCTGTTGTCATATATGCAAAAACAAAACAATAATAGTGCTGCACCCTGTTGGGAAACCCTATAATTTTTTAATGCTATCTATATCTATAAAAGAGGAACTATGTATGTGTGTGTGTATGTATATACGTTATGGACTCCGAAACCGCTCGACAGATTGTAATGAAACTTTCAGGCATTATTAAGCATCTTTCAAGGATGGTTCGAGTGAAGTTTGGTGTAGATCTATCAAAAGGGCTCTGCCCCAGAGGGTTTTAAGTGGGCCAATGTCAGACTTTTTGATCTACAATGTTTACAAATAAATATAATTTAAAAGCAGATGTTTACTTTTACCAACTGTTTTGTAGGTTTGAATAATTACAACATTCTGTATTAGCATTAGTCATGATTTGAAATAGTGCCACAGTGTTTCTACAGAGTGCAGCACAGAAAACTATTTTACTTTTGAATAAGTCCAAATGTATTAAACCCCAATCGCAGCACACCTGTGCACTTAACAACGTTTAAATTCTCCAATGTTAAATATTAAAACATAAAAACCTTTATCTAAGTATTATAAACAATAAAAGGGATGACTTTTAAAAATTTATGACAACAGCTAATTTGCAATCAAAATGTGAGTGAGAGTAGCGAACGAACATCAACCTGGAGGCGAGTTAGCGTAGCGAACGAGCTAACCTGAAAACAAGTGAGCGCAGCGAACGAGCTCCAACCTAAAGGTGAGTGAGCGTAGCGAACGAACTTCAACCGGGACGTGATTGAGCCATGCGAATACTTATGAAGTTAAACGGGCAAAGCCCGTGGGTACAGCTAGTTGCATATAATAGAACTAACTTGTAAAGTTGAAACAGCTGACTAAATTCTTCCCTTTAAATATGAATACTCATAAGGTTACATGGGGAACTACAGAGCCACTGGGGTGGAGCCCGAAAGGATTTTTGAGATAAGAATATGCCTAAATGTTAATCGGGAATGTGAGCTATCATCATGCCAAATTTCAGTCCAATCCGTCCAGTAGTTTATGCGTGATTGAGCAACACACACAAAAACGCACAAACTCAAAAACTTTCAGATTTATAATATTAGTAAGATACAATTTGTTTATGCAGGAATGGTTTGTAAAATCCTGTTAATATAAATCTATGAATACAATTAATTGCTTTCAACATTTACTCACCATTGATAAAAAAAAACCTGAATTTTACATCTTAGTTTTAGGCCTATAGGTAATTTTAACGGACAGAAACCATATATTCTTTATGATATATAGAACGTACCTATCCATTGAAGTATTTTATTTTTCCATTGATTAATAAATATATAAGGTAATCAAAATTATACATAAAAATACGGCATTCAAGACTATTTTGATACATGCTTCTTTTAACTTCTCGAATATAACATAAATGGAACTGCCTATATCAGTTCAAAGGGAA